TCAAAAGCGGCAAAGACCCCGATGGATCCCAGCATCAAGCTCGTGAAGTCAAGCATTCCTTCGGATCCAGAAGCATCGAAAAGACCATACAGGGAACTCATCGGAGCTCTCATGTATCTCGCCGTCTCTACCAGGCCGGACATCGCTTTCGCCGTCAGCTCACTGAGCCAATTTAATGACTGCCACGATAGTACTCATTGGATGGCGGCAAAAAGAGTTCTGCGTTACCTCAGGGGGACCATAGGGATGGGAATAACATTCAAACCGTCAGGTAACCCCCTCAGGTGCTTCGTCGACTCCGATTGGGCGTCTTGTCTGAGTGATCGTCGATCGTACACGGGATACACGACGATCCTAAGCTCCGGACCAATATCTTGGGAATCCAGGAAGCAGAGAACCGTCGCGCTCTCCTCGACCGAGGCGGAGTACATGGCGCTTACCGAGGGTGTGAAGGAATGCCTCTATTTCCGGGGGTTTCTCGTCGAATTGGGATTCGATGATCTGGCCGATGCGGTGGTGTTCAACGATAATCTCGGTGCGCAGAAGCTTGCCGAGAATCCGGCCTTCCACGCCAGAAGTAAACACATCGACGTGAGGCATCACTTTGTACGGGAGGTCTTGCGGGACGGAAAGGCAAGAGTTCAGCACATCTCTACGGGAGAGATGCCCGCCGATATCCTAACCAAGGGACTACTAGGACTAAAGCACGAAAAGTGCGTCAAGTTCTTAGGAATGAACTAGGGTGTCGACGTTACTCGCCCTCGGCTCAAGGGGGAGTGTAAGAAGAAACACTTCAAATGACCCGCGGGCTCCTAGCTCGTCACCCTATATCCTGGCTCCTAGCGCGCCACCTATATCCTGTTTTCGCTTCCGCCCTTTGATCGTTTCAGGTATCGCAACTTTCACTTCACGACGTGCCTCTACCCAGTTTACACGTGCTTCTTCTCCATCACGGACAGTACATCATTCACGCTCGCCATTACCAAGGATCAGATCTCGCATAATCTCTGCTAACAATTATCTTATTCGCGACATTCAAAAGACATACTCATATATGTACATATACATATTCAAAAGACAACTGGTTTCAGTTTGTAATTTCTTAAATTATTTTATGAGACTTCATAAACTTTTAAGTAGAACAATAATTCAACGTAAAATTATAGATATCTAAACACAGATTTTTCTTTATGGGGAATCTCATATTAAATGAGAATCTATTAGAAGTTGTAAACGATTTTTAAAATGATTTTAGGCATCGCCTATTAATAACCAGGGAAAGACGCTTGGCTAACAATATAACTAAAAAGAAAGTTGAGTGTACAATTAAATAAAGTAACGCAGAATTATTTTACTATTATTATTTTTCATTAAGTAAAATGATCGAAAGTATCATTTTCAAATGTGTATGTGACTTTGAGCAATGCCAATTTTTATGTATTGGTAAAGACAAAATAGTGCCTGGAGGAAAAACTACTAAATGATCTCTTCATAGTCACTTATCAGTTGTTTCTTTTAACATGATTTTCCATATGTTCTGATAATTCCAAATAAAAATTTTTTTGCTTAATATCCAAGCATTAATTATGAAGATCAAATGAACAATATACATTTATACAGAAATTATTTTGATGAGCGTTTGATGGCTTTCATGTACTTAGTCGATCTATAAACAACTTCTGCTCTTGTGTTTCAACTCATTTCTATGCAAACTACCTAAGAATTAATGTCAATCAATTAGACGATGATAGCACTCTGTTTATTAACTATTTAATGGTTTCTGTTCATGTATCGCTTCTCTAAGGACACCTTTCTCTTTAAGAATTCTTGATATCGAATTCAAATTTAAAGCCTGAAATTACTTTCTATTGAATTCGATGGATAAGATAGAAATAAGTTTGAAGCAAATCGTGAATTCGATACAAAAGATCGATCGAACTCGTACTTACCCTTCGGACATGTGCGAACCAAAAACGTAAAAACGTGTCCCTGATTAGTGACTGCAATAGTGTAGTATGTGCTGGTTAATATTGTCAGCTCTCCTAAGTACTTACTTGCATCATGTAGGCGCCTAGCGTTGCTCATTTACTCAAGTACAATATGCAGATACATACTTGTCGCGGTATATAATCATATGTTTACGGTTACAAGAGCAACTGAGAATCGTTAAATAGTGTGCTCCAAGCGAATCAAATCAAAGGAAAATTAAAGTAAATATTCAATTAACGATTACATCCACGTCACATTTACATGCGACAACTGCGAGCCGCCATTAAAACAGAAAATGGGTAATTGTCGGAAGTTAAAACTTTCTCGTGTCTTTAACAATATCTTTCACTGATGTATTACTCGTACGAAAACTGAGCAGTCTCCTATAGCGTCGCAAAGTGCAATACAGTAAATTCTCCCTAATTGACGCTCAGATTGTGTACAACAATGGACAATTTGGGAAGAGGAGATACGATTATTCGAGCCTTGCAATTCGTTTTTATAGTTGTTGACAATCAGTAACTATAAAAACGAACTGCGAGGCTCGAATAATCGTATTTCCTCTTCCCAAATTGTCCATTTTTATGTACAATCTGAGCGTCAATTAGGGAGAATTTACTGTACAGGGGAGAATAACCATGAATGGAACACATATTGCAAAGAACATTACTATGATTTCGAAAATTGTGAATCTTCTGATAATAAAATTATACTTGTTTTATAACTACATTATGCACATCTTGATCTCGCTACCAATTAATACGTAACTATGCCAGACAATTATTTTTTTTATGCTTGCTTTTTTTATTTTTATATATTTCATAGGTTGTTTTTTCAGTTTCTTTTTATTGGAAGGATTGTTTTTTCATCAGAAAATACTAAAACTCAAAAACGATTCATTTAACGTAAAGACGATTTACGTAATTTAAGATTAGTATATTGTATTATATGTATGTGTACAATAAATACAAAAATAGTACTTATAAGGTTAATACCAACATTATATATACTTTTTTTCGTTGACCCATTCGGGGCAACCAACTGATGAATGAAACAAACTGCACTTCTTAAAAGGGTTACAAGTAAAGCAAGTAAACGTAGGAGAAACTCATCGAAACTATGCATCCGAATGTTTTGAATTAGGATTAGATAGGTCGTTTAGTTGTTTTGTTATCTTATCCTAAGTAAAAATGTCCCATTCATGGCAGTGATCACCTGCGTATGTATCTCTCAATAATTCGTGATGTCACTTGGCAGAAATTCTCTAGCATCTTCTACAGTCGAAATATATAAAGGACCGGTAGGGTTTTCATTCTAAGTAACAACAGGAATCATTGACAGCTTCAGAGCCGCTAGAGGTTGCGTCCAAGTATCGGAAGAAGCAGCTAAGTTAGGTGCTGCTAAGGTCACGGTCGCGATAACAACACGAAACACTGAACGATTAGGTACTGTTAAAAACGTTGCCCTAACAAAGGAGGCTTCTTAGAGACTCGAAGTGGTAATTACGAAGACAAGTTCGTGATTCTCGTCTAATAAATATGGACACTACAAGAAGAGAAAGTTTAAACTTTCAGTTAGCAGGACAGTACGACATTCAGTTTAGAATCTACCTGTAAAACCATAGTGCTGACAACAGTACCAGCGACAGGTACGAGATTTAATTCTAGCCACTCCTCGCCTGCTCTTAGACAACCTCTCTCGAATATACTCCTCTCTCCAGTCTGCATTCCCCGGGGATAAACAGAAACCATTTAAAACAAACTGTGACAAATAACTTCAACCTCCATGTTTTACAACTACGTTATTCGTGCCTGCAGCTGCTAAAGTAGCAACCTAACCATTGGAGACAATGACCTACCAATACCAATCATTAAAATATGTATTGTGTATACAAACAGCTCAAATAATTTTAAAACTCCTCCACTCTATTCCTCTAGAAGACATTACAGTTTATCTGGGATCTAGATATTTTGGGTTTCTTATCATCAAGAACGGACATCTAGTTTCTAAAATTTCTGTCTAGAATTTCTGTGAATAAAAGTGTACAATCTTTAGTTTGTGAACAGTTTTTCTTCTAATACTAATGCCACTTCAAGCAGAGCAAGAAAGAATAAAGCAAAATTGTCTCGCATTGTAAAAGAAATAAATAATCCAGGGAGAAAAATTGTGAGAATGCTGAACGGATTTTCTGTAGCGTCAGATTCGAAATAATTGCACTGAATAATTTCACTCTTCTACGTTATTTTTTTTAAAATAAACATCTAAAGGTATCACACGAATTTAA